TGTCTATAGTTTGAACCACAACCTCACAAAAGCTGATCTTGTTTAGACGATTGAAGGGTTGAAAACGCGATTAGGTAGGTCAAGCATTTCTCGGACTTATGTCCCTGTTCTCGGTCTTACACAAGGATCAACGCTGAAATCTTGCTAACCAAAAAGACCGTGCCGAAGCGCATCTCGGGCAACGACCCCGAACTACCGTCAATGAAAACGAGGAAATCGCAGTTTCTGAAACTAGCATTGATATCGACGATTCAGACCTCACACCTATGTCCATGACCATGCAACCGGCGTTGGACACCAATGGTCTCTTTCAGCCCTCAGCTTTGCAATCCTGGACCCAGTTCCTAGACCTATTCGAAGGTCACATATTCGACAGTCTTCAAGTTCCTCACCTTTCTAAACGAAGCGATCATCCACCGTCTCAGCTTGGGTGTACAACCTCACCAGACGGGACGAACGGACTTTCATTGGCCCGAGATTATGGGCATCGGCCCCGTATGCCAAGTCTTCGCGAAGTACGCGCACTGAACACGTCAGCTCAGACAGCGGTGTGCAGTCTTGTGTGTGAGAACAGCGAGCAGTTGGAAGAGTGCCTGAACATGGTTAGCCAACTTACGTCGCTTTGCTCGAATTTTCTCGTTACACAGATGGAGGTTGCAGGCATTTCGTCTGCTGTGGCCGAGTACCTAGTGTGGGTGCACAAGGGCCCTCAGGTGCCGCTTAGAGGAGCTACATTGGGCACAAGTAGTGCAGAAATATTGGAAATCCTGGAGGCACGGGTCCGCGAGCTTCAGAGCATGGCCGAAACATCACATCAAGCGGGTTGGGCACGGATGTTGAAGACGCTTGAGAGCCGACACTCGGCCATGCAACTCGATGCTTTGGAGGAAATGCTACCAGTGCAGATGGAAAAAAGGCAGCGACTGTTCCAAGAGAACTACGAGATCGATAAGAACTTACCCGAACAACTTACTGCATGTCAGGAAGATGACTAGAGTATCTTATTGATGTTGCTACTCGGGCGTTATGAATAGAAGGTGGCTTCTCTCAACAACTACAATAACATGTGTTTTCTCCCATGCTACCACCGTGATAATTTAAGAGCTCTCTCCAAAACATGCTACCCATGTATTCTGGGTGGGCTTCAACCAGTGAACAGAAGATCTTGAAATTCCTAACCGTCTTTCAGCTAGCGACTGAGTACGTATATATGCGTTGGTGAAAACAGTATAGCGATAGATAATTGGGGCTCGTAGCTCAGTAAGAGAAGGTCTGTCCCACCAGTCCTTCACTCAGTTTCCACAACTTCTCGGCCTCAACACGGCTGGTCGCCCAGGGTTTAATGCGGTTGGAGTCATCGGCAACTATCTCACCCTTCTCCAAATAAGCGCCATTTCGCCCTGTCAACATCAGCATGATCATTACGACCTTAAACAACGTAATCAGCTGTACTTACCCGAGATTTCGGTATCGAATGCAGCAACTACATGGGTGGCTGAGCCCTCGTCGTGCGAGACGAAATCAAAGTTTGCGTTCCAGCCCTCCGCGTTGCCCATGAAACGGTCAACCTTTTCTAACAATAAATGAGCCTTCGCGTTGGATTTGATGTGAATATACCAAGGACTTACGCAAGGCCAGATATTCCACGTTCCAGTCAATGTGATCGCCCAGACCAGTTCCGATGACTCCGGGGTGAAGACTGAAAGACAGAAGATTATGCTTGGCGCCTAGTTTCTCTGCTAGTGCGATGGCCATGAGCATGTTTGCCGTCTTGGACTGGCCGTATGCTTGCCACCTGTTATACGTCTCTCCGTGCTGAAAATTGTTCAAGCCTTAGTACAAGTCAGGGGATGATGCGGACCAGAGCTTACATGAAAGTTGTAGTCGTCAAAACGGAACGAACCGAGCCTATGACCGTCGCTGCTCACCATTACCACTCGAGGTGCAGCTGAGGCCTGCAATTTGCCCATAATAAGGTTCGTAAAGAGGAACGGCCCGAGATGGTTCGTTGCAAATTGACTCTCGTACCCCTCAGGAGAAAGTGCGTAGTCTGTAGCCATGATGCCCGCATTGTTGACAAGAACGTCGATGTGTGGAACATCAGACCAACTATTGACCGTGTTTGCAGCGGTCCGGACAGCTTCCAATGATGAAAGATCGAGTTGGAGAATGCGCGATTTGATCGAGATCGTTGGGTTTTCAGCGGCTAGTTGGCTTGCGGTCTCTTTGACCTTGGAAATGTTGCGGCCAGCCAAGATGAGTAGCGCTGGTTGTAAGGCTGCGATGGCTTTAAGGAAGGCGGCACCCAACCCTGAAGGCGAAACACCTGTGGTGAGAATGACCTTGCCTTGGATCACAGATGCATAGGACTTAGCTATGCCTTTAGCAGATAGGGAGGCCATGTCTTGAATTGTAATGGTGTGTTATGTTCGGGGGTGTTGGCTCAGAAAGGATGGCGGGATCAGCTTGGAGCATGAAATTCGCAAAGTCAACATTAGTTTGGGGAAAACAAGAGCATTTATGTCCATAGGGACTAACGTGTCCGTGCGCGTGATGCGCGGATTCGCGTGATGCGCGGGGAACACCATATCCACTACTTCAAAAATGAAGCTATTAAGCCACGTATATAAGCTGTTATTATACGAATTTATAGAGGGGGAGTAATTAGATGCTTGCGATCAACTTGTACTATCTATATTTTGATGGGAGGTTGACGTTGCGGCCACGTGATGTGAGCTTTGATGGAGGAGCTGGAGGCTCTTCTTGAACTTGAGCACCAGCGCGAGCAGCCTCAACGCGTTTTTGACGCTTGTTGTTCGATGAGGTAGCTGCTGAAGCTCTCCTCTTTCCCTTTTGGGGTAGTTGTATAGCTTTAGCAGCGTCTCTCTCCTCCTTCTGGCGCGCGCGTTCAGCTGCTTTCTCAGCTCGCTCAAGCTCCCTCATCTCCTTGAGTCTCTGCCTCTCCACACGCCTCTCCTCGAGCTCATCTTGACGCTGCAGTCGAGCCTCCTCGCGCTGCTTCTTGGACCGTGCTTTTTGGAGTTTCTCCTCCGTCTCATCTCGCTCCCGTACTGCTTCTCTAGCTCGAGCCTCACGCAGCTTGCGAGGAGACCAGAAGACAGAGCCACCGTGATACTCCTGGCGCTGTTGAAGGTCAAGAGCTTTGCCCTTCTTCCTGTGCTTCTTTTTATGTTGAAGAGCCTCCTTTAAGCCCTCGTTCTCATGCTTTAAAAGCTCATACTGCACAGAGAGATGGTGAACGCTTGAGCGCAGCTTTCTTGCCTCATACTGATGGCTATCATTAACAGCAGCTCGTACTAGCCGATCGAGCTTTCTCCAGTCATGATCAGAGAGCCCTGACGATGAGCTTCTCTCAGCTTCTGGCGTGCTAGCAAATCTACGAAGGATAACGTTGGCATCCATCGGCCAGATCCCAGTGGCTTCGAAGGCCTTCAATATGAGGCTCTCTGTGAAGGAGGATATCCAGGCGCTCCAGAAGAGCGGGAAGAAGTCCCCTTTCTTGATTGGAATAAGGCCTTGAGCCTTATGGAGATGGTTAGTGAGCTCGTTAGAGTAGGCTTGAGAGAGTGGCTTGAACAGCACTACATCTAGCGGCTGGAGCGTATGGGTCGAATGGGGAGGAAGGATCATGAGGAGGATCCTGTGAACGGTCTGTAGGGACTGTATTCCAGCTACCTAGTCCAGATGCTATTTACAGTCAAGATGAAGAAAGAAGGTAAGACGCAAGCGGCGAGCCTGCTTTGTTTGGGTTGGCGCACGGCCCTCACGTTGCCGGGGAAGCGACTAGGCTAGCAGCCTAGTCATGTGACTCGAGGCTCAGCCCGTTACATTACCCCCCTCCTTTCCCTTTAGCGCGTAGTTTTCTCCATTTCCTCCAAGCGTCAGTCTTTAGTACGTTACTCACAGGTTCCCATGTCGGTTCAGTATAGTCCACCCACTTCACATATGCCTCCTTGATTTCTTTCCCTCCCTGCCTTGTTGTGCGTTCGCCCAGAATACGTTCAACCAGCCATAGCTCGTCTCCATCTACAAGTATAGGCCCTGGCTGAGTGTCTCCAACCTTCTGCGATGGGAGAGAGTCGTTAGGCGCGTAGCGAAGCAGGTCTACGTGGAAGACAGGATGGATCTTCCCCGGAACGTCAAGTTGATAAGAGTGGGAGTTGACCTGCCTCAAGACTTTGTACTTTCCATGCAACCAGTCTAGCTTCTTGGAAGGTCGTGTTGTCTTCACGTTTCTAAGGTTCAAAAACACCCAGTCTCCCTCCTTGTATTGGGGCGCTGCTGTTCTTGTCTTGTTAGCTTGATGTTGCTGTTTCTCTTGTGTTATCGCGATCGCAGCTTGGGCCCACTCTGTTGCGTCTTGGAGTCTTTTAAGGAAGCCTTCTGCCAGTGCTTCGCCGTCTCTCTTTGGTCGGTCCTGAATAGTTCGATCCTCTACCAGCTGAATGGGTTCATTGTGATATCCGTGCATAAAATAGAAGGGGCTTAGGCCAGTAGATGAGGCCTCGCGATTGTTGATTGCTCCCATAACGATAGGTAAAAGTGCTAGCCAATTTTCTTGCGTGTAGGTGGCCCAGATTCGAATCATCTTCTCAATCTCTTGGTTCATTCGCTCTGTTGCACCATCGGTTTGCGGATGATAGGCAGTCGACAGGCGTTGCTCAACGCTGAGGAGTTTACAGAAATGCCTCCAAAGATCGCTGACGAATTGTGGTCCTCTATCGCTCGTAATTGCCGTTGGAATACCATGAATAGGGTAATGCCGTTCTAAAAGCCGTTGTGCTACTGCTTCTGCCGAGATATCGTGCATGCCTTCCAGTTCAACTCCCTTTGTCAGCCGATCAGTGACCACCATGCAGTTCGTTGCGTCATCGCGTCCAGATGGCGGCAAGTCCGTAATAAAATCGATTGAAAGTTCTCCCCATATACGTTCTGGGATCGGTAGCGGTTTAAGGAGGCCCTTCTTTGTCTCTCTCCATATCGTATTCCTCCCGCAAATCTCGCAGTTACGGACAAAGCGTCGCACGTCGCTTGCTACACCTGACCAGAAGAACTGCCTTGATAAGATTGAGTAGGTAAGATCTCGTCCAGGATGGCCGGTGATATGCGAGTCGTGAATATTTTGAATAATTCGTGTGCGAAGTGGTTCGCAGTCAGGGATCCATATCCGGTCTCGAAATCGCAACAGGCCTCTCTCGTCTAGGGTGCATTCTGCTATACTCACTGACTTCTCCTTCTGAAGTTTGGTAGGGAGGTTCCGCTCCTTGTTTGCTACCAGCGTAGTGAGCTCCTGATAAAGCTCATCCTCTTGGCGGCTTCGGTGCCAGAGATTTTGCATGTCCTGGTCCTCAAACATGCGTATCTCTTCTGTGAAGTCAATCTCCTCGGACGACAGGGACTGGATTTGAACACTCTGCAAGTGCTTGCTCTGGAAAAGACGGATAAATCGAGACCGTATTCGTTCATCGTCGTAGTTGGCGGGTAGGTCTTGTTCTCGTCGTGACAGGGCGTCAGGTTTTCCCATAGTCTTTCCAGGTTTCCATTCCAGGGAGAAGTCGAATCGTGAGAGAAACTCTGACCAACGTACTTGTCTTTCAGACAGCTGTCGTTCGCGGTAGAAGTATTGAAGGTTCTTGTGGTCCGTCAGAACTGTGAACTTCCTAACCATACGTAGTTCAGGAGCCCATGCTTCTAAGCAACGAACAATAGCTAGAAGCTCCTTGTCATGAATTGGATAATTGGCCTCTGTTGGTGAGTGCTTCTTTGAGTAGTAGGCAACGGGTTGCCAGTTGTTGTTCTTGTCCTTCTGCAGCAATAGGCCGCCAGTTGCATGTCCTGAGGAGTCGGCTTCTACCAAGGTGTCCTTCTCTGGATCAAAATGGCCGAGTATTGGTGCTGTAATGAGAAGTTCCTTAATCGTTTCAAATGCTTGATTGCAAGCCTCGTCCCAATGAAAAACCATCTCTTTCTTAGTTAGGTTGATAAGCGGTTCAGCAATGTCCGAGAAGTTTGGTATAAAAACTCGGTAAAAGTTGGCAAAACCAATAAATGCTCGGATAGCCTTAACTGACGTTGGTGTAGCCCATTCGCGGATTGCGATAATCTTTTCAGGATCAACTCGAATGCCCACTTCTGCTTCCACAATGTACCCGAGGTATTTGACTCGTTTAGTCTCGAACTCGCACTTGTCGATATCAATCTGCAGTCCAGCGTCTATAAGGCGTTGAAGAACCTTTCCAACCTTCTCTCTGTGATCCTGAAGCGATCCTGACGAGTAGATTAAGATGTCGTCAACGTAGGCTGAAACAAAGTCGTCAAGGTAATCCTGTAGAACACCATTTACGTAGCGTTGAAATGCGGCTGGTGCTCCTGTTAGTCCGAAGGGAGCAACCCGCCATTCGAATAGGCCGTATCTTGTTCGGAAAGCTGTCTTCCATTCTTCTCCTTTGGCCACACGGATCTTGTGGAAGGCTGCGATAACGTCAAGTTTTGTGAACCATTTAGCTTTAGCTACATTTCTCAGTGTTTCTGTGAATAGAGGCAGAGGGTAACGGTCCTTCCTGGTGATGTTGTTCAAGCCTCGGTAGTCAACGCAAAATCGGATGCCCCCTCCTGGCTTTTTGACCATCAGGACGGGTGCAGCTGCGGGAGAGTTACTTGCGCGGATAAAATCCTTGTCTAACAGCTCGGTGAGAGTTTTCCTAAGCACTAGTAACTCTTCTCGGCTCATGCCGTAGAGCGGACCCCATGGAATGGTCTTCTCGTTTCCGTCTTGATCCTTTTCAATCTCAATGTGGAGATCAACGCCTTTACGATGTGGGGGAAGTTTCTCAGCTAGGAAATGGTCGAAAGCCTTCAGCCATTGGTGGTACTGGGGTGGGAGCTTCGTCTTTGGATCGGATCGTTTGCGCGGTTTCAAAGCTTTCTCAATGTCGGCGATGGAAACAGCGAACAGTCCAGTGTCGAGCGCAATACCGTCTCCTTTGTTCTTCCTACGGCTTCTTCTCACCTCCGCCATGAATGCGGAAGCCATCACCTGAGTAGCCTTCATTAGTGGTGGCTTGTATGACGCTTTCTTGTGGTTCCATGCGCGGATGTTTGACGCGCCGATATCTAGGCAGCCTTGTTTGGCCGAAATTGTGACGTCGGCATCTTCTAACCAGGGCTTTCCTAGGATCACGTCGTAAGTTAGGCCAGGTACAACGTAGAAGAAGACGCGTTTCTGCTGGTGGCCGTCTATGTCTATCGAGGCGTAAGTAACTGTATCTAGGACAGTACTTGGTTCTGCGTTCTTCCCAGCTGCTTCCTCTAGCTGGCGCGGGGCTATCTTGATTGATGGCAGTCTCAGAGATCGAAAGAGTTGTTCATTAATGGCAGAATA